CACCCCCCCCCCCCCCCCCGTCTTTGGGGGGGCTGAAGGGGGGTCACGATCCTAAAAGTCAGAGTTTTTGATCGAATTTCGATTCGATTTCATTAGGATTGAAAAGTACGGAAAATTTCACGTGCAATCGACCCCTACAAATCCAAGATCGGACCACTTTACTCCCAAAAATGAGCCCTCAAAGGGTTCCAGGACTTTACGTCCACCTCTAAAATGTCCAATTTTTTATGTCCGCTAAATATTTAAGTCCGGACTTTACGTCCACTTGCAAAATGTCCAATTTTTTATGTCCGCTAAATATTTACGTCCACCTTCAACTGCGTCAATCTGAAGAGATGTTCATCCTTTTGAATGCCCAATAACTTTCTGTCTGTAAGTCTGTAGCATTGCACCTTATCTCGACTGACTCTTTAATTTAAGGGAGGGAATGGGAGTTTCCTCCGAAGTGGACGGGTCAGTTGGCGATTTTCCGAGGCGTTTTGTAGAGCCTGTCCGTCTCTTCCTTGCCAAGACGAACGCGGACGAATGAAACTCCCCCGTAATTCGCCTGCGAGCTGTAACATCTGCAACCTTTAAAAGTCGACAGAGCCTCGTCTTCTACTGGCCAAAGTGGTTTCTTCGGTGTCACTCTTTCTCGCTCCCCGCCGCAATTAAAGCGGAACGACCTTTTTTTGACCCTCGACGGGCATTTTCGAGCCTCAATCGACCTTTTTTTCGGAGCTCAGACCCATCCTCTCAGTTTTTACTCGACTCAAAACAGGTATATTTTCAGGTAGATGTCCAAGGAGCCTTCTTCTACCACTATCTCTCGTTTAACTGTCTAAAAGTTCCGATTTATATCATTCTAATAGCACTAGAAGCTTCTACACTTATCCGGGTTTTAACCTTCTAAAGGGTCCGATATTAGAAGAAAATGTTGCAAGGGAGGCTGCAAAAAGTTAAAATATACAATTTTTAAGTGTGGCTGAGTATTAGTGATACATTATTTCCATTCTTTAAAACTGCCGTTTTTCAACTTTTCAAAATAGAAGATTTATGTTAACCTAAACCTGAATATATTGCGGTTATGACACATTTTTTATCCCTATCTACCAGAAAGGACCTAAAATGAAAAATAAGGGGTGCAAAAATGTTAAAGTGTCATTCTTGATTTTCAGTCATCAATATAAATCTTTTGAGCTCTGCTGATTTAGTTTTGAATCCTAATTAATACTACCACTCTTATTTCTTTTATCTTGAGTTTCATTCCTTAACTTGAGTCCATATTTATATTATATTTTCTGCAATCGATACATACCGAGGCCTCAATGAAAGATGCAAGGATCAATACAACACATGACACTAATGTTAAAATCATACTTTTAGTGCACGTATAAATGTGGGAAAAAAATCAATTAAACGAGAAAGCAGCTTAAGCTTATCAAAAGCAATCTAAACGCGCGGACATTCATAGATGACAAACCGACTGGGTACTTTACCTAACTTAAAATTGCCGCTGAGAATTATTCCCTCCATTTTTATTAGTTCATTTAGACCACTTCACCGAGATGAAAGCCAAGTAAGCTTCATCAGCTATGACCAATAGATCGTATGGGTGGTTTTAATCCCTTTGATTACATTCCAAAAATGTTGAAAACATTTTCTCACTTGTGGTATTATTTACACCACCGGAAAAAAATGAACGAAGAAAATTGATTAGGCACTCATGTATTTACATGTATTACGTTTTTACATTTCAGGAAATGAAAGATTTTATACAAAATAATATCACATTTCACACAAATCTTACACCAAAATAACAAAAGCAATAACAGAAGGAAGTATACATACTAGAATACTGGAGAGATTTGGAGAGAAAGATCTCCGGAAAAAAGTGAAGGGTTGGCAGGCAGTCCCCCAGGGTACTCCAATTGCTCCCGTTTCGGATTTTTCACCAATTACGGGATGATATTTTTGGATAAAAATCCTCACGGAAGATGTTCGAAAAGTCTCAGCGATGCTCAGTATCTATTATTTTCGTCGAGTGTTAAAAGGTGAATTTTAAGTCGTATCGGTCCTCGGTCTTGGTTTGATACCATCCATATCAACTTGAAATTTTTTCCCCAGCGGAATAAGTGCCTGTTCACTCAGCTTAATACTTAGGATCACTGGCCGCATCATTTCATAATGTTCTCTAGGTAAATCCACAATTCGAGCCTCTAAAGTTTTGTAGGTGGCGGCCAACCTATGCAGTTCATCTTTCAAGAATGTTGCATTTCGCAGAAGCTCAGTTTTCTGGAACATGGATATTAAGTTGAGGTCTTATTGTAATAGAATATTGAGGTTTGAATGGAAAGAAATGTTCACGAAAGAGATAATGTCTTCCCTAGAAGACGCAAAAATTACATCAACCGTGGTTAATTTTATATATTCTTTTTTCTTTGACACCAACTATGCGCCTCTTTGGATTATAATGTTGGATTTTACCAATTTTCACTGTGGCTTGTATTCCAAGCCAATAAAAGCGTTAGTTAGTACATACATACATACATACATACGAGTCGCTCTCACAGCGCTCTCTGGCGCTCTGCAACGCCTAACCGCCACAAAACTCGGTCCTCCCACGGGTCGTCAGGGAGTTGGCATTCCCTCATCTCATCCATAGCCCCCTGTCGCCAACCTCTCACTGGGCATCCCCTACGTCTCCTCCCAGGAGGAACCCAATCAAGCATCTTTTTTGGCAGCCTCTCTTCCGTCATCCTATTGACATGACCATACCAGACAAGCTGTTTGGTCATGACGTCGAACACGATGTCATTTTCGACTTCCATTATCTGGCACACTCTATCGTCACAGACCCGATCTCTCCTAGATTTCCTAATTAGTTAGTCAGTATGAAATGTAAATTTGTTAGGAAATAACCTGCAAAGTTGATCGAAAATAATTCACCAGGAATTTGAAACATTAAGATTTTTTTAAATATTCGCGCAGACACTATCAAACTTCCCCTGCCCTGATTAAGTTATCGAAAGCAAAAAAAGAAGTATTGCTCTTACCGCAATGAAACCTGGATCTCCAGGATTCAATATTCCTTTATTCATGTCAAACAGGACTTTACCAGCATCGAAGTAACGCCGTAGGTTCCTGAGAGATTCATCTGCCACTCTCACGAACTCCAGGAATTCGCCCGTGACGTTGCTTTTTAGGTTTGCAGCCAGCCCCACCACCCTCTTTATAGCAGCTTTTCGGCTGGTTTCGACGGTCATAAGGCCAGCTAGTAATTCATCATAGCTTCGAATCGGTGTGGCTGTTGAGGTCGGCTGCAAGGAGTTAGGATGTCAATTAATTAAGCTGAAATAAGTGTAAATGCCATTATATACCCTGTTTGAATTTTTCGAACTGCACTGTGAAGCAACACGAAAGAATTACGATTTAAATTTTTCTTACTGCAAGACCTGAAATTATGTGCTAGGTCATTTGTCCTAAAATTTTCTTTCCTACCACAAGGTTTCCTCATACTTTTTACTGCTCGTTTTTTGTCCCATTACGGTAAATCCTCCAAGTGAGATTTCTTAATGGCGGCGGCTTTTTTTCTAAGGCTATTTGTCCTAATTGTGATTGGAACTTTAACATGGGGAGTTTAGAGGAAAGAGTTCGCGACCTAACCTTCCACACTTAGATCGGTTTCTAGGAGACACCCCCCCACCCTCTCCCACTATTTTACATACATAAAGTCGCTTTTATAGCGCCGCCTCGCGCTCTGCGACGCCCAATCGCCATTGCCCCCTATCCTCCCAGAGATCATCAGGCAATTGGCACCTTCTGATCTCCTCCTCCACCCCTTGTCGCCAACCTTTCTCAGGACGTCCACGCCGTCGCCTTCCGGGAGGAACCCAATCGAAGACCTGCTTGGGCAACCGGTCGTCTGCCATCCTTCGCACATGTCCATACCAGACCAACTGCTTGGACCTGATATCGTGCACGATGTCCTTCTCTACACCCATGATCTCGCGTACTTTTACATTGCGGATACGCTCTCTTCTTGAGATGCCAGCAGACCTCCGCCAAAAGTCCATCTCAGTTGCCCTAAGCATGTCTTCAGTTCTTTTCTTGAGTTGCCAGACCTCACTCCCGTAAGTTACGATACTCTTCACGATGACGTTATAAATTTTCCTTTTGGTCTCCTTGGAGATACTCTGGTCCCAGAGAACCCCATTTAGCATCGCGATAGCTTTCCTGCCTTGCACATTCCGATCTTTAATAGCCCGATCCAAATTTCCGTCCTTAGTTAACCAAACTCCTAGATATTTATACTCTTCACAGTCCTGAATTTTCCGATCATCCTCCAGTTCAATGCTTTGCTGATCACCACCGATAACCAACTTCTCCGTCTTAACCACATTTACTTCCATTCCCCACTTTCGGTATACTTCCACTAGCTTCCGCGTCATGTAATACGCATCTTCTTCGTCCTGAGCTATTACCACCTGATCACTATTTTAAAGTATATTTTTTTTGGATTTACTGATAGCTCAATTGAATTTAGGAGAAATACCTCAAGGAAATAACTCAGTAAGATATAATACTTGTTGGACGTACTGTAGCGAGAAAAAAAGAATAGGAAAGAAGTGTTAGGAAAACTTGCGATGGGAAAATTCTTTTTAGGAAACATAACATGCCACCGAAATTTTATTGAAGATATGAATTCGATACATTTTCGGTGGACGGAAAAAAATAATTCACTATCACGCGTAAAAGTATCCTTGTCATCCCTGGTAAAATTTGGCAGTAGAATCTGTGTTCCAAGATACCATAGACCTACAGCCGGCTATAAGATTTCCAATAGCTTCTATAGCCGGCAACACAATTTCTTATGGCCTTTTATAGCCGATGGCGATTAAGCAACAGCCTGGCGATAAAGTGTATGCTAAACGTTACTAATTACGGATGCTAGGACTTAGTGAGTTTTTGGACTACCACTCTCCTTTTTGGCCGTAGTATCTTGATGTATTTTGCGAGGAATCCTGCGTACTTTTGGAGGATGCCTGCCATTCTTAATATGTTGGAGCGCCTTCAATTTCGTATGATACTGTGCAATTCCTCTGGTGTGAAATAGTTGCTTCAAGCGCCGTGGTACGCTGCGGCGCGGCGCGGCGGGCGGGCAGCCAGCGCGAAACGCGCATTGGCGCCTACAAACCTAACAGGGATACTTCACGCGTTGCGCAATGCGTGAAGTATTCCTGTTAGGTTTGTAGGCGCCAGTGCGCCGCTGCTCCGCTTTGTGTTAGGCTCTAATATTTAATCTCGTGGAGTCAGCGTTTTTCAACTCATGACTTTGAAATGTTTGCACACTCTGTATGGACTAGGTATTCTCATTTTAATTGATGAAAAAAAATATTTAGTAAAGGAAAATATAATGTGCGTTTTTAAATATTAAGGTGATTCCGTACAAACTTAAGGATTTACAAAGCACACAAATTTCTACACAATTTCTTATAGCCTTTTATAGCCAATGGCGAAAAAGCGACATGCCAGGCGATAAAGTGTAAAGCCCGGCGATAGGAACTATAGCCCGCCAGTATAATTTTTTATCGCTTCGTGTAGCCCGGCCGTATGATTTTTTCCACTTTCTACAGCCAGCTATATGATTTTCTATAGCCTTCTTCAGTCGGCTATAAGAACTCCTACGGTATTTTGAAACGCAGCTCCTATCACCAATTTTTACCAGGGATAAATAAGTAGATGAAAGTATTATTCAAAAATAGAATTTCACAATCACATCAGTATTTTTTTCCTGACAAGTATAATTTTATTGAGACAAGGATCCCAATTATAAATGTAGAGAGCTTTTCTATCATCGCAGCAAAAGATTATTATTAAAAAAATCATAATTGTGGCAGTGTAATTTTTATATGAGTTTTTATTTCGTAATTTTTCTTGCAAAAGTGATGTATTTTCTACGTGCGAACAAAAAGAATAAAATAAGAACGAAGAGAGAGGTTAAAAACAATTCTTGGTTTCAAATACACTCACCAATTTCTAAACTATTTGGAATATTGCCACTTATTTTTGGGCTATTAATCTCTAAGATTATTTTTTTTCTCAACTCATTCATTTGCATGCTTTTTTCCAATCAAATCAAACCGTCTATATACTTACTGATGCCTCAAGAGATACAAGAATCAGCGCTACAGGGCACACTAACGTTAAAATCATACTTTGGACGGACGTATATACATCCAAGGAACAATGCAAATAAAACGTGTACTTGATTTGAGCTTATCAAATACGATCTGATATGGTTCAATAGTCTTACACGACAAGCTGAGCAGTCACATAGGTTTGACACCATCATTTCAACATTTACCGTATTTTCATCAAAAACAGATGTTCCCCCATCCCTTTTTCTCCCCCGGATATTCTGAGACATCGCCTTTTAATCGAATAAGTGAATCTTATGGTCTGAGACAGGAGCACTATCTTCGGTTGAAAACATAGGAATCATGCATAAACTAGTCTCTGTGAGATGCTATACTCTACGTCTCAACCGTAAATTGATCTTTACATTACATACCTTCATTAATAGGGTTTTCTTTATTTTTGGCCTTTTCCAACTCAACTTGTAATTGTTCTTCAAGAGGAGTCACCACCTGTTCACTTTGTTTGATGATGTCCATCACAGGTCGCAGCACGCTCAACATGTCCTGTGGAAGACATCCCTCACCAGACTGTAAATTTTCTTTTATTTTTGCCAGCCTACGCATTTGCCCTTTCAAGTAATTTTCCTCTCTCAGGAGATAAGTTTTCTAAAACAAGGATATATTTTATGAAATCTTAGCGTTATTAGGTAGTTAGGTATGTAAGAAAACGTTTCCACAATAAAAAATTATTTCTTGGATTTTTTTTCTTCGGCGTTGCGTGAATGTAAATGAAATTGCAGTTTAATGTAGGTATGGAAGTATATAAAGACTCAGAACTCAACGAAGAAAATTAAAATCTTAGTCAAAATCGTTTAGATACTCAAGTAAATATTTAAAGATGAGGTCTTTGATCTAAGTTTTAAAATTCCAGTCATGAAATTTCAAAAACGTCCCATTTACATTATTTTTCCCAATGTTTTACCAGTCCCTTACAGACACGCTGATAATGTCGATGTGTGAAAAGTAAGTTCCATGCAACGTATGATTTATACTTGTTTGTGCCGAACTTTTAGTCTCAGAAGACACAAATGAATCTAGCCTTGCAACTTACAAAATATCTTACGGTAACACGATGGATGAGCCCATGAGTACATTCCATATCGATTAGAAAATTTTAAAATCGTCTCTCTCTCCCCCACCCCTCTCTCTCGCCCCTCTCCTCCTCTCCCCTCTCGCTCGCTCCCTCCCCCTCCCTCTCTTTCTCTCTATGATTGGTTAATCGGTCAATACATCTATTTGAGGGTGCCTTGACAAAACTAAGTCATCAGCATCTTGTAAAAAGGGTGTTGATTCTGGCTATAATAAACTATGCAAGTTCTAACGATATCACCTAAGATAGTTTTGATTAATTTAAAGCAAAAAAGATGAGAGTTCTTCTTACCAAATTTACATCTTCCTCCAGGAGGTTCGATTCTCCCTTTTCGAAGTCCAGCTTTACCTTACCAGCGTCAAAATAGTGTCGTATGTTTTCGAGTACAGTATTTGCTTGCCCTATGGCCTCCAAAAAATTCAGCGCCCCACGGCTTTTCTGGTTCGTGGCCACCTTTTTTGCCTTATTTATGGCATCTGTTCGGATAATTTCCAAGGCTATGAAAGAATCTAGTATTTTGTCAAAACTTAGACTTGACGGTACTGAGGTAGGCTGCAAGAAGATAAAATATATTTTTTTAAGTTCGAATTAGTATAAATGTTACAATATCCGCATGTTTTTAAATTGTATTTTTCTTACCTTTCACAATGGTAGATTTTTGTTCATTTAAACCTGAAAATATAATGGTGATGACACATATCTTATCCCGATCTATTTTTATTAGAAATGAGGTAAAATAAAAAAGAAAGAGTGTAAAAAATTGATTTAACCACATCCTTGATTTTCAATTGTCAGTTTAAACCTTTTAAGCTCTGCTGCTTTCTTTTAGACTTTTAGTTTAATACTCTCCTCCCTTCGTTTTTATTTTTAACTTCATTCCTTACCATGAGTTCATACCGTGATCCGACACTTACCGAGGCCTCAATAAAAGATGCAAGGATCAGTACAACAGATGACACTAATGTTAAAATCATACTTTTAGCGTATGTATAAAAGTGGGGGTAAAATCAACTTAACTGCAGTATAGGTTAATCTTATCAAAAACAATCTGTACGCGCGGACAATCATGGATGACAAACCGACTGAGTGCATTACCTAACTTAAAATTGCCGCTGAGAATTATTCACTCCATTTTTACTAGTTCATTTAGACCACTTTACCAGGATGGAAGTCATGTAAGTATCATCCGCGATGATCAAAAAATCGTATGGGTGGGGTCTAGATTCCTTTGATCGCGCGCATTCCGAGAATCGTGATACATTTTTGTAACTACTTGCGGCATCATTTCTACTGGATAAGAAAAGAAAAGAAAATTGATGTCGCACAAAAACGGTTGGCTGATATTTAATACAAACAATTACCAGTGCTAGACGCAAATTAGGGCTGGTGATTTGTTGCAGTTGATGCAACAATCGCTTACGTAGCACAGTGCAAGAAAAGTATTGAAATAAAGTTGCGATTTACTTAAATGAAACTGTATTTTTTTATAGCCACTGAAATTGCAATACTTTTACAAAATTTATGGTCACTAATCGTTAATTTTAAACAAACGATAAGATGAGTTTAATTGATCAGAAAAGTAGGCAACCAGCAATTCAAAAACAAATCGCTACTTATGACATAGTTGATTTGGAATAGATCTCAATTACAGGTGCCCCTTCAACCAGTAGGAATGCAACATATACATCACTGCGATGTGTTGTATGCAAGTTTTTTTTTTGGGGGGGGGGGGGAATTGTGTATAAAATACAAAGATGCTTAGAGTACTTTTTTACGTAGCGTTAAAAAAATTGTGCAAAATTTACAAAATTCACGTGAAATTCAACCCTCTGATCTGAAAAAAGATGCTCGTAAAATACTGCAAAAGATAAAACTTTTAAAGACAATTTGAGTCAGGTAGATTTTTTCTCACTTTGTGCCTTTATTTTGTCCCTCTGCGTTTTTTTGTAACAAAACGCTGCAACCCCTGGCAAGACTATTACGTAATCTTGAATATTACTCGAAATTCTTAAATATGGGCCATTCTTTGTTGCTATGCTGGAAGCTTCCTGCTCGAACCTCCCTGGAACTGAATATAAACTATTCGTGACCGACCGTATGGTCAAAGGATTGGTTGTCACTCTTTTTTTTAAAATCTTTACGATAGGACACGGAAAGCTTCGATTATAGTCGATATCTATTCTTCAAGTCATGATCTAAAATTCGTATATTGCAGTCTTATGTGGATATTGGTTTGGACTTCTCCAATTCCTCTTGGGATTTTTTTGCAAGTAGAATTAATGCAAGTTCACTTTGTTTGATAAACTTGATGACTGCCCCCAGAACCCTATACATGTCTTTAGGCAGATTAGGCACTTGAGACTCTATTGTTTTGTAAGTTGCGGATAACTTAGTCAGTTGATCATTCAAATATGTCTCCTTCCGCAACAGCTCAGTTGTCTGTAACAGAGTTGAAATTTCAAACTTAATTTAATGAGGCACTGAGGTATTAACGGAGAAATTTTCGAAAATAAGCTAGTGTTCTTGCATTCAGAACTATTTTCTGCATTCCTAATTTAAATGTCGGTGCAATCGTTGGATCATTGTTTCCTTTCATCTGCTGCTCACATGTATTAAAATGTCTGTTAATGAAAACAAATTAGGTTGCTATGTACGAGTCAATGACGCGCCTTTTCAACACATTGTGTTGGAGTTCACTACTTGGTTTCGTTTCTTTTCTTTTTTTTGCTGAGTACAAGCAATTAAAGCTGTGCTAGTTCCAATGAACGTGATCTTCAACCTTTGTCTCGCCAATTCGATTCTTTTAAACCAAAGTGTAGATAAAATTTTGTAATAAGAGCTTACCTATGGAGGGAAACAAATAATCAGTGTAAAAGCAAAGAAGAGAAGGAAGGCGTGGAGGAGTAAATGGTGCAAGACAGAGAAATAAACTAAAGAAAAAGGACACGCGCAGAAAAATACGCCAAGGGACAAAAAAGGGAGGAAAGAAGAAGGAAAAGTAAAGGTAGAAGAATTGAAAGAGGAAGATCAATACGAAGAAGTATAAATTCTTCATGTTTCTCTTCTTCCTCTTCTGCTCCTAATTCTACTTCTTCTCTTTCTACATTCTTTTCTTCTTCTTCTTCTTCTTCTTCTTCTTCTTCTCTTGGCGCTTATTCTCTTATTCCTCCTAATGTCTTTCTTTGTATCTCCTTTCTTCTGTCTTCCGATTTCTAATGCGCTCTCATCCATCGTAGGCTAGGAATACTGCGAACTTAACGGGTCTGCAAACTAGGGATAGAGTAAAGAATATGTAGTCTTACTCTCACCGCATGTAAATCTGTTTCATTGAGTTTCGATTTTCCTTTATTCTTATCGAACATGACTTTACCAGCATCAAAGTAGCGTCGTATATTCTCGAGCACTTCATCTGCCTCTCGCACAACCTTCAGAAAGTTGAGTGTCGCGTTACTTTTAGCCCCTGTAGCCACCTCTTCAGCTATCTTAATGGCGGTCTTTCGGTTGTTTTCTATGACCATGAATTCATCCAATAATTCATCGAAGCTTTTGCTCGGCGTCGTGAAAGTTGGCTGCAAGAAGTTGGATTCTAGTTTATTGACTCAATTAAGTACGAAAGTAACATTATTTGCATTTTTCATTTCCTATGTTAGACGAGAGAACATAACATCGCTTTAAGGTTAGGAAACTGAATTGCACGATTTTATTTTTGCCCAGCATGTTGCTGATTTTGGCGAGTGTCAGTGGTAAATGCAGGGAAACTTTCAGTCAGAAACACTGAACTACTTCCAAGCATAAATGAAATTTGCAAACAAAAATTCAACGACGTTAAAATACATAGTTAAGTTCTTTTTCCCCAAAAAATGACGATGTGCTCCAGTAATAATCTAAGTTTTGTAGTGTCCACGTGTCCACGTGTCCACGTGTCCACGTTCAGTGCTGCAGAACCCTCTTCAC